TTTTAAATTTGAAAAAGCTTCCTGGATGGGAAGCGAAACGTCTTCAAAGTTGGAAAACAAAGTCCAGGGGTTTGTTTATTGTTTTTTAACTTTTTTGGAATGAGTAAACCAATTATTTATATTGTAGACTTCAAACACAGTGAATAATGTAAGAAAAGAAGGCAGCCTTCAGGGAAGTGAGGGTGAGGAGGGCCAGGATGCAGAGGAAGGTCAGCATGATCGAACAGAGCTGCAAACAAACGCAGCAACAAAGGAAACTGTGATTGAGGCTTCAGTGACTTTAACATTTAACAGATTTACACCAAGCAGTAATATTGCAGTAAAACATGTTTTATGTTTAATTTGCTTTGCATTTGTCAGAAAACAGGTTAAAACAATAACATAAAAAACAACTAATGAGTGACTTTCTGAATAAGATGGATTTAAGCCCTTTTTAAAGACCTTTGCTTGGTGTTTCGGATTTTGGCAGCACGTTTGGGAACAAACTGGAGCTTTTGGAGGCTCCTGGCAGGAATCCAGATGAGGAGTGAATTACAGGAGTCCAACCTGGGGAACACAGGGCATGGATGAACTTCTCAGCAGCAGGGAGGGAGAGTGGGGGGCGCAGTTAGGAAATATTACCGAGGGGAAAGAAAGGGGTTATTTCAGGTGGACGTTACTTCAAACTGATGTCTATGGAAGAGAGCAAAGCCAAATGGGAGGCTGTGCAGAGAACACCTAGGAAAAGGTCACATTCAATCTCTCTTAAGATCTGGTTTACGCCTTTAATGAGGATCCGGTTGCATATGAGACGACGATTGTCTCTTTCCTTAAAGGCACACAATGCAACATTTTTCAGTTAATGTGTTCCATAACGTTTTGGATGATTAAATGAGTCATTTCAGGTGGAACAAAGGTTTTCTCGGCCGCCCTGGTGGTCTGTGGGGGAAATACCGTACTTGCAGTTGCAGGAGCCCTCGGCCCGCACCCACAGGCTCAGAAGTCTCGTGCGAGAGTCTGTCTTGCTTTACGGCGAGAACTGCTACACGCCCCCAGTGAAAGGCATGCTCGTCGCTAGCGCATTGGCGATATTTGTGCAGTTATCATGGCGGAACCTGCGAGAAAACAGCGAAAGCCCGTGTCGGAAACATGCTAAATTGACATGGTGATTCGTTGCGTTCGCCTGTCTGCTAAGCTCAAAACAACCGCGCCTGGCTTGACGGAGAAACCAGCTGAGCATATTTACGACAGTGCACTTTTACTTTCGCCCTCTGGGGAGAGCCTCGCTGGAAAATCAACACTGGTTGCATGGTGTACCTTTAACCTGCATTTGATTTTGCTAATAGCAGCTTTTTTTCTTTGAATTTTGTTTGAATGTTTTTGTGCGTCAGCCTCAATTCTTTTAGTTTACAGGATCTTATGAATTTGCTGTGAAATCCCGTATTTGCACGGCATTTGCACCCCTCGGCCTGCGTGAAGAGGTGAAGAGAGAGTTCCAGTCCAGTCATGTTCGCTCCAGCGGAGTGAAAGCTGGGTTAGTTGTTGGAACAAGGAGCTGATGGCGAATGTTCCAGTTTCTGACTGAACCCCCTCGGATTCCTGCAGCAGAGCTGGAATGGGTTTGCTGGAAGGTGGACCGACTGTGTTTAGCTTCCACATTAAATATGTTTGTTTCATAAATGACAAACACTAAAGAGTCCAAACATCCCCGCCCGCGGTGCGGTCCAGCTCTCTCTGGTGACATCCAACTGCTTTTGTTCAGTTAATTCAGAACAAATGACGAGAGGCTTTGAGAGGCCCAGGAGACGGCCTTAAATCAGTCTGCACCACAGAGACATGGACGGCGGTTCAAACACCAAAGTTGATCATTCCTGACAGAATTATTGGACACATTCTGAAGACACTTGGTATGAGTCAATAGGAGCTGGAAAGATGTTTGGTATTGGTTGCATGTGGATAAATCTGGTTTGAAGAGAAAAACAGAGATTATGCAACCTTGAAGAGCCTCTGGATGTGGGTCCTCCACAGACTGAGCGAGGGATGCTTTCAGTCTCCCACATGTGGAGTCAATAACAAACACTGACGGACGACATGTTGCTGCTCCTCATCCACCAACATTGTGCTGCTTGTGGTCTTAGCTGTGGCAGGACCTGTCTTCTCCGTCTCACCCTCTGATTCATAAAGGAAATGCAGGAATGCAATGGTGGTGTAAACACGCCTGCTCAGTTCAGGAAGCTCTGCTGTGCAGTCGGTCATCTGACTCCTGAAGACGTCTATTTCTGCAGAACAGCTTGTCCCGCTATCAGAGAGGGAGCATGCTCAGTGAACTCCAGATATGCCAGCAGTGGCTGACTCCCAGCATCCCATCACAGAGTAGAAACCCAAAGGACTCCAGCAGCCATCGGCGAAAAGCTGGAACCCAAACCCAGAACCAGACCAGTAGTCATTCTGAATGTTGTCGGAGTTTCACTTTAACTGAGGTGTTTATTTTCTAAACATGACGCCCCAGTGGCTTTCCAACCCCAAAACACAATACAGCAAAGCCTGGGTTACCCCAAAGACCCGGTCTCACGGTAAAAACAGAGTCACATTGTATACTTTGAGTTCCAGGAGGACTGGAACCAGTTATGTTTTGAGAAAAAGCAGCCATTGGCCTGAAGGATGGCCCAGCACGAAAAACATCATCTGGCCAAGACTCTGTGGTTCACACTTATATGAAGGTCTGGCTTTAAGGGAAAATGTTCTCATCCAGACACCCTGGCCGTTTCTCAACTCACTAGAACACGACTATGGACTCGTGTTCTCATCAAGTACATTCTAGACAAGAACCCAGGAAAGTCTGGATTCTGGGAGAACGGGAGCGAGCAGAATAAATCTGGGTCAATTGGAACAGAAGCGTGTTGATGACATCACCACATTCAAAGCTAGTCTGGAGCTGCATTTCACCTCCTGTTATTAATAGTCTCTAGATGATAATAAATTATAACTTTTTTCCATTAAGTGGAGGAATAATGATTAACACAGTCAGATAAACACAAATCTAATAAAACTTTAGCCAAATAAAAGAAAAAAACCTCCAATCAGAGCCAGCAGTCCTTCACACACGGCTATGCAGAGAGAGGGCTGCTGCAGACGGGCTAACGTTAGCCCATCCGCTGCAGACGGGCTAATGTTAGCCCTGGCTGCTGCAGACAGGCTAACGGTTAGCCTGGCTGCTGCAGACGGGCTAATGTTAGCCCTGGCTGCTGCAGACGGGCTAACGTTACATGTGGCTGCTGCAGACGGGCTAACGTTAGCCCTCGCTGCTGCAGACGGGCTAACGTTAGCCCTGGCTGCTGCAGACGGGTTAAAGTTAGCCCGGGCCGCTGCAGACGGGCTAACGTTAGCTCTGGCTGAAGCAGAGGGGCTAACGTTAGCCCGTCTGCAGCGGATGGGCTAACGTTAGTCCTGGCTGCTGCAGGCGGGCTAAAGTTAGCCGTGGCTGCTGCAGACTGGCTAATGTTAGCCTGGCTGCTGCAGACTGGCTAATGTTAGCCGTGGCTGCTGCAGACGGGCTAACGTTAGCTCTGGCCACTGCAGACGAGCCAATGTTAGCCTTGGCTGCGCATCGCTTGGAGGTCCGCTGGTGTCCACGGTCCTCTCAACATCTGAATTTTAGTTTTTAATTACGCACTAAATCGGTAAATGTTCCATATAGTGAAACTTAAAGTATAATTTTCTCACCTCAAATGATTTTAAAATCTACTTTTATTGAACAACAGCAACAGAAAAGAGAACTTTTAACTTAACACTCTGAGCTCTGTGAGCGCTAACCTGGAAGCTGCTGCTGCAGCAGTGCATGCTGGGACAGCTGTCAGTCTGGAGAACGGACAACTCTGCTCTGATGCATGCTGGGTAAAGAGGGAGGAGCCAGAACAACATCCGGGGACTTTGTCCGTTCTTGGATGCACAAGTGCACATATTGAGAAACGGCCCCTGTCAACTTTTAGGACTAGGCTTAATTCCTGTTTGGTGAAGCTTATAGTTAGAGTGGCTCAGGTTATCCTTCCACCCGTTCACTGGTGAACCACTTGGTATATTTCAACCTAACAATCTGGATTGCAGGAAAATAACAATGGTTAAACTTTTACCAAAATAGACATGGTAGACATCGTTGCACCAATGCACAATTAACACAGATATAGCAGCATGGTAAAACGTAAGTATGAAAAAGCAGCTGCGACAGGTTATCCTGAGTTATCTCCATAGCTATGCTGCTTTAGGCTTAGACTGCTGGAGGACATAGGGACCAATTTCTACGCACTCTGCCTGATTCTACTTGTATTCTCTATATCTGAATCATTTGTTAGTTCAGGTTCTAACTTTATGTTCTCTGTTTTCTCTCATCATAGCAGCTTCATTGGCATGAATCTGTTCAGCTGAACTGCTGCCATCAACACCTGACCTATTTTTAGGGTGCTTACCACTTACCGCACGTACCGCTAACGTTGGAGAAGCCTGCCGCCATCTTTACTTATGGATAACCAGCTTCCTGATGCTACTTCCTGTGTGAATGTGTCTGCAAGGCCCAATCAGGAGGAGGCTTACAGAAGTCTCTGGCTAACCTGTCAAAACACATTTTCCTTCGTACGGGGAGAAAATCCGAGGGCAGAGACGCTTTCAATAAGTCAGCCGTCTTCGAGCGTTACCGCTGGATAGAAAATTGTGCGCGGGTGAGATTGAACAAGCGGAGCTGTTTTTCACGCATGTGTGATTTTGTTGTGCGTTGGTAGATAAACATTACCCAGAAGTACTTTAACATACATGCCAGTATGTTTATTTTGCTCGTGGGCGTTTTTTGAAATAAATGTGACGCCATACTCCTGCTTATATTTCGCTGCTGTTCCTTGTTCTGTTTATATCTTACAATGAAAAGCAAACACATGGATCCTAGGGCTCCTAAATAAGGCCTTTCTGTTCAAAACATCCTCATCGTGTAAGAAAGTGAATCTTTAATCTATCCTGACGTAATGTGTCAGCAGGAGGTCCAATCAGTAAAAGATGTCAGCTGGACGTCTGCTCTGCCGCTGCAGCTGTGCAGCAGGCCGCCGCCCCCACCGCCCGCCCCTACAGACTAAGGCCGCTCAAACGTCCCCTGGTCTCTCTTCCGCTTTCAGAAAATCAAAGCGCAGCGTACGGAAGCCCCGCTGTGGAGCACCTGTGGCTTCATAAAAGGTAGAGGTGGCGGGATGGAAGATAAAACATGGCGGCCATCCGTCTGATGGTCCCCTGTTAACACTAACGTCAGCCAAAGCAAAAACACTAAAACTTTGTCTTCAAAACCAAACGTTTCCTATAAAACTCATTCATTAAGATTTAAAAGAGGACACCTGACTCTGGATGAGTCACCCTGAGCAGATGTCTCCACACGCTGCACAACTAATTCTGATTGAGGGAAACAAACCGACTTAATAGGTTCGGCCTGAAAACCTCGTGCATAAAGAACAAGTCCATATGTTCTCAGACGTGAAGGTATGTCGGAAGGAAATCGCTTCCTGATCAGTTTCCTTTAGTTTACATTTAGGACCAGCTGAAAGAAAGTGGCCGGGATGTCAGCAGCATTCCAGAGTGGATCCGTTTCCCAAACAGAGGAAAAAAAGTCACAGAGTTAAGATGGGATGAAGAGGAGCATGAAGGTCACAGCAGGGTCAGGGTTAGCTGCACCAAATCAAAGCATCACCTGTGATAAATCAAACTGGTCATTGACGGGTTCTGGTTCTGCTAAAACAGGACCAGGTTCTAAAAAAACATCCCTCCCTTTGAATAATTCCTGGAGATGAATCTATTATCTAAAGATGGAGAGAGAATGGACCAATTTTTGGACTGACCGGGACACGGACATCTCTCTAGATCAGAGGTGATGGTTTAGCGGACCGTGGTCCGAATCTGGACCCAACCTGATCTAAAACATTTATAAATTACCGCATGTTGTCCGACGGCAGTGACTAATTTCTCTTGCGCCTCTTCTCCTGTTAATACGGTAAAGCCCTGGGGAGCGTCCGGCTCCAGGCTGCGCGTGATCCAAATGAGCCAATGAGCCGATGGGAAAGAAGGAGAAGACGATGAGAAAAAGAGAGCAGAGAAAGGGGGGACTGCTGGAAGAACTGCGGTGAACTGGTGAAAGAAAAGTGAAATGGCGTGCTCAAAGATGACCCTGCACATTTAGAGGATGTTTGGCTCAACCT